TGTTGTTAATAACAAAAGATTTTTGTTTTTATACAATTGTCATGTAAACAATCTAATTTATATAAAATGTAAGACAAAATTTGCTACAAACCAAGTTAATATATTTAAAGTATACGTACAACTAAAAAAATAAAAATAATTAATATTTAAATAAAAATAATTAATGAAAAGGGGTAAATGTTTTTTTAAAAAACAAAAATCTTGATTAGAGGATACTAGACTAGTCCCACACACATGCCCTTTATAAAATAAACCAAACTGCCCCTTGGTCAAGAATTTTCTTTTTTGCCCTACTATGGGTTCCCACTCCTTTCTTTTTGTTTTCTTTTTACATGAATGACGGGTAGCTTGTAGTGGCAAGCTATCTATCGCCTATTATGCTTCTCTCCAGAATCCGGTAATTATTATGGTGGGTGATAAAAGGGTTTGGCCTAAAAATTAATTTTCAATCCGATCATTATTTAGGACAATGACTTAGCTGATTTAGCCATTGTAGGTTGACAAATTAGCTACAGTGTCGAAGGGGGTAATGTTTTAATTGGAAAGAAGGAACTCTCATAGAAGAGTCATATATATATATATATATATTGCCAGAAATATAGAATTTGAGACATAAATTAGAAGTATTCAAGACAATTAAAAAATAATGTGTTATTTTCCTAAATGCATTTAAGAATATCATTTTTTTAATTTAGAAACATAAACAAGTTGCTTATGCAAAAATATATGATTTCGAGTCAATTTTTAAAGTGAAAATAATAATGATAATGATGATGTTAAGATTGTGTATCTAAATATCTTAAACTACCACCCTTAGATCTTTCAAATGTTTTTATTAATCTTATCTTAACAGATTAATGTTATTGTTGTTAATAACAGAAGATTTTTGTTTTTATACAATTGTCATGTAAACAATCTCATTTATATAAAATGTAAGGCAAAATTGGCTACAAACCAAGTTAATATATTTAAAGTATACGTTCAACAAAAAAAAATAAAACTAATTAATGAAAAGGGGTAAATGATTTTTAAAAAAACAAAAATCTTGATTAGACGATAATGGACTAGGCCCACACACATGACCTTTATAAAATAAACCAAACTGCGCCTTGGCCAGGATTTTTTTTTTGCCCTACTATGCGTCGCCCGCTCCTTTCTTTTTGTTTTCTTTTTAATTGAACGACAGGTAGCTTGTAGTGGCAAGCTATCTATCCCCAACTACGCTTCTCTCCGGAATGCGATAATTATTGTGGTGGGTGATAAGTGGGTGTGACCTAAAAGTTAACTTTCAATCCGGTCATTATTTAGGAGAATGACTTAGCTGATTTAGCCATTGTAGGTTGACAAATCAGCTATAGTGTCGAAGGGGTTAATGTTATAATTGGAAAGAAGGAACTCTCATGGAAGAGTCATATATAGAGATTTAGACATAAATTAGAAGTATTCAAGAAAATTATAAAATAATGTGTTTTTGTCCTAAATGCATTTAAGAATATCAT